GCCCCTCCCCCGCAACTTGAAAAAAAAAAAAACATATATTCCTCAGTATATATTGAACAAAACAAAAACATTCACGCGCACTTCTTAGCGGCCCGGTGCGGGTTTTATGTGTGGTGAAACAAGATATGGATCCAAGTGCAACGAGAAGCCCCCTGCGTACTCTATCAAAGAAAACAAAAAAAAGAATAATATTCTCGACTATTCGCTACCAAAAAAATAAAATTCATGTGCACTTTTAGCTGCCGGAGTGTGGGTTTTGTGTGTGGTGAAGCATGAAGTGGATCGAAGTCCGAGTTGGGGGGGAGGGGTGCGGGGCCCCGCAAAAAAAAAAAAAACGTATATTCCTCAGTATATATTGAAAAAAACAAAAACATTCACGTGCACTTATTCGACTGTTCTTTTTTTTTTTTGCATTCTTTTCTTACTCCTCTGTCTCTCTGTATCTTTATTTCTCCATCTCTCTCTCCCTCCTTTCTCCCTCTCTCTCTCCCTTTCTCTGTGTCTCTATCCATCTTCCATTTCTTGAATTTGTTAATTGTGCTCAAATTTTGCAGTTGGTTTTGACCTAACTTTTTTTTTTCTTTTTTTTCTTTTTTAGCGGGCATTGACCGCACCACCCGCACCGCGGGCGCTTAGCTAGTGTGTATATATATATATATATTTTTTTGAAAAGGGCGATGGCCTTGAGGTATTATCATCGGACTAACCATCGGAAAACGACAGACCTAGTCCCGCAATTTTGACAGCGGCGACTTTGGCGATTTTTCGCTCTTGAAACAATTATCAGAAAACTCTGAAAATTTGAGGATCCGTAGATTTGCTCGTTATCTTTTCAGAAAAAATATCAGAAAAATTGTAAACAATCATTTTGACCTCAAAACAATCGCCTCGCTGATTCGGTGCATGTTCCAGTTTTGCCACTCTGCCATTTCTGGGCCAACGGGAAAAGTACTCCGACTTCAGCGATTTTTCGCGCTCCGAAGAATGCTCCAAAGACCTTGAAAATTGGAGGGTCCGTAGATTTGCTTCTGATCTTTTCAGGAAAAACATTTAAAAAAAAAAAAAATCATTTAAACCACGAAATAAATTGGAGACCCAATATTAGGGTTTGCAAACACAGGCACATCCTGACGTGCCAGCTGCCTAAAGTCGGATACACTTCAAAAGAAAGCAGCCCCCAAAAGCAGACAGGGACCCAGTTCACCTCAGTAGTTATCTCTTCGGGGAATTGGGTATTCAAAATTTGTGTGTGGGTTTAAACCCCACCCCGACCACAACCACTGTCATCAAGCTTCAATACTAACATATATATATATATATATATATACATATATATATCGTCAAATAGAACTGCCCGGTAATCCGTAGGCAGAGAGGGAGAAGAGGTATATATATT